GGGGGGTATCTGTTATTCTGTATATAAACCCACCCCGAACCCCCTCGATCAGATTCCAGTCTGTAACTCCCTCCCCGGGGGGGTATCTGTTATTCTGTATATAACCCACCCCGAACCCCCTCGATCAGATTCCAGTCTGTAACTCCCTCCCCGGGGGGTATCTGTTATTCTGTATATAAACCCACCCCGAACCCCTCGATCAGATTCCAGTCTGTAACTCCCTCCCGGGGGGTATCTGTTATTCTGTATATAAACCACCCCGAACCCCTCGATCAGATTCCAGTCCGTAACTCCCTCCCGGATGTGTCCCCCTCAGGCCGAAGCGGGGAATCCCGGTGCCGAAGAGCACTGACCTTTTTGGTGGGTGGTGAGCTCTGGTGATCCCTGTCGCCGTTGTGCCGGCTCTGCTCCCGGTCGGAGCTGCCGGCTCTCCTTGGCCCCTCGCCCGGCGAGCTCGGCCTGGCATCCTCGGGTTTCCGCTTCTCCAGCGGCTTGCGCTGTCCATCCACTCGCTCGGGAGGCTTGGGCAGTGCCTCCTTCTGACAGGCGGAGCATTGGAGGGACAGAGCCAAAGACAGAAAAGGCTAGACTTAACTGGTGACCAACAGTTTATGCCAGTTCCAAGACTTTGCGCGACAAACACGCAGAATCCGCACCCTGGTCCTCCCCTGCGACCGGCCTGAGAAGTAAATCAGGACCAGGTTTATAACCCTGGCTCAAACGCGGGTGGAGGAAGTGAACCGCAGAGGTAAGGTGACCGCGAAAGCCCTCGGCATCAAGCCAGCAGTCCCGTGTGGCTCACGTGGCACGTAACATGTGCGCCAAAGGTCAGAGGCTGGGAATCCTGCAGCGAGGAACCCCACCTTCTGATTCCAACTCCACCCCAGCCCCAATAAAAACCAGTCCCCCTGCTGCCAAGGCACAAGGGCAAGAGGGGGGAGGGAATACTCCCCAGTTGCCCTGGACTTGGGGGGGTGGGGGGGGGGAGCAGCTCCGACACCACTCAAGAAGCTCCATCCCGTCCAGGACAAAGCAGCACCCACCCCCACCTCGATCGAGACGCCAACCCCCACCTCCAACACCCGCTCCCTCCCCAGGCACAGCCACAGCAGTGTGTACCGTCTACAAAACCCACCGCAGCGACTCACCCACCGACAGCACCTTCCCCAAAACCCACCACCTCCACCTCCACCTCTGGAATCAACAAAAGCGTTAGGCGCAAGGGATCCCCAACCCCCTGGAAGATCCCCTCCCAGTCATCCTGACTGGAACCAAATCTACATTGTCACCAGGTCAAAATCCTGCAACATCCTACATTCGGGCACGGCTGGTGTCCCTACAGCACACAGACTGCAGGCGGTTTGAGCGGTAACTAATCACCACCGACTCCACGGGCAACAAATGCAACAATTCCAGTCCAGTAAATAAGAATAAAATCAGCAGCTCGCTGTCCTGAAGCATGACTCGTTTTCTTTTTCAACCTCCAGCGAAACTCGCTCAGTTACTTTCCAGGGCATGTGCCTCGATCATCCGTCCCCGTATCTGTCATTCTGTATATAACCCACCCCGAACCCCCTCGATCAGATTCCAGTCTGTAACTCCCTCCCGGGGGCGGTATCTGTTATTCGGTATATAAACCCACCCCGAACCCCCTCGATCAGATTCCAGTCTGTCACGCCCTCCCCGGGTGGTATCTTTTATTCTGTATATAAACACCCCCCGAACCCCCTC